CCCCATTTTATTTCATAGAAATATCAATGTAACCAACGATTTACTTGAAGACTGGACTCGTTTTGCGCACATTCCTCTGGCGGTTTGAAAACCCAATGTTGACTAAAATAGTGGTCAAGATATACAATCGATCATTCTTTTACAATATATGCATTCGTGTTGTCCACAAAGCATTGAATTTCTACAACACATGCTTTGTTCGAACTCACGGTAGCACATGAATCGAAATGTTCTGGCTTTTGGAATTTATACCATTCTACGAACGATGTTGGAGAGAGGATTATATTCTAGTATTCTATCATGTATTATGAGACAATAAGCGGTGGTATCAGAAGGAAACGGTTTATTAGCTTCGAATTCGAGTCTCTCATCTACCTGACCAGTTTTTATGGATTCGGATTGTTTGGAACAATCAATTACTACAATAGGAGCTTCATCTCTGAGATAGTGACAGTAAAGGAAAGGGATTAGGCTCAGAGTAGTAATTTTTTTTGAAAGCTTGCATACATATAGTATAACATCCATATTGGTTATTAGTGTGTAGAGATTAGAGATTAGTGACCGTTAATCGATAGTTATTCAGATATCGGTCGGGTGTTATGTGAGTTTCAGAAAAACATTTTCTTCGTGCCAACGTTTCGATCTTTTATTGAGATCATCTTCAGGGCCTGGGATTTACAAACAATGTTTACATTTAACAAATTCATTTAGGATGTGGAAAAGTGAATTTATACAATACAAAATATATTTTATATTCAAACAAAGTATTTCTACTCACTCAAAGTGTTTGTCTTCTGTGTAATTGTGCCATCCTTCCTTGCCTAGCTTTCAAAAATTATAAAACAATCCAAACACTTTTTTCCAAAGTTAAAGATCCCACACCAAGAACAAATTCTTGCTTATTTTCTAGTTTATTTTTGTTTTTATCTTTTTTTTTTTTAATAAGAATCAAAATGAAATGAAGTTTTAAGGGCGTGATTTTGTACTTGTTTTATAAATCCAAACGAAATAGATTTTTTTTTAAACACAATTTATTAATCTACTGGTATTCAAATAAGCATAACCTTTTTATTAATTTATTTTTTATATCGATGTCGAGATTAAAAATGAAAAGACTAATTTGTGTAACTTTCAATAAACAGTTAAGGATTAAAATGTAGCTTAATTTATACTAGGTTGGCTAAATGCTGTAAGTTGTATTATGTGTGCTTTTCTTCTTTTTTAGGGATAATTTAGATCTTCTAACACAAAATAGATCAGATTTATTATGTTTTTGACTAAAAACGGGCCTTGGTATTTCTTTTGTTTATTTCAAATTAATATTTTGCGCCTTTTTTGAGATGTGATAAGCTTTTAACATGATCCAATTACCGTCTATACATATACCCAACTTTCTATTTCTAGTGTAATAAAATGCATGTCTCTCGTGTGCCCTTTTCAAATTTTTTATGGCACATTCCCAAATTTGTCTAGTTTATTTATCTTTTTCATCATTGGACTTAACTTGTTCCCATTTTATTTCCAGAGGTGTATTTCAATTACGCCCCAAAAATATTTCTACAAGAGATATTTTAGTAGATTCATTGATACAATTGTTTAGATTTGCGGTAATCCAGGCTACATAATCATCCCAATTCTAAAGGATCATAGTTAACCGAGCAGTTCACTCGTATAGCATTTGTTAAATTAGCAACATATCTTTCCGCCGTGTTTCCCTGCGACCGATAAGCCGTCTTGGCCTTCTTTTATACTGTTCCTAAGCCGTTGCCGGCTCTTTGAATGAACGAGCAGCAAACTGGCGCGCTTTCTCCCGGAGTGAGTAGCGGTGTTCCGTAATCTGTGGCACTTTTACTTTTAATTACTGCTCTTATGTGAGCCTCGCATTTAGCTGTACCAGCCTGATGCTCATGATTTTTACCAAGGTGCAAACAATTTATGCACCTGAGGGCATCTGACTTACACTCCTTCGTGTCGTGAGGCTCAGCGCACTGGCCACAATGTCCTTTTTTGGGCATGTCGAGGCTATATGGCCGTAACTTTGGCACCGGTAACACCTGGTGACATTTATACAATCCTTTACGTTACAGGACTGATAGTCAAGGTATACCTTGCCGGTGTTTAATATTTTCTTCCGAGCCTCCGCAGGGAATTCCGCAACCCATGATACGAAGGTGGATGTTTGCCTCGACCCACTTCCATATTTAACCGTGTATAAGGGCTTGATGTCACTGGCACTTTGTTGCAGGAAGTCATTGTTGGCTAAAAGTTCTTTGAGTTCTTCTCTGCTCGTGGTCTTTTGGACTCGAAGGATGAGTAATCTTGGGTTTCTTTTACCCATAGATCGCGGCTTCAGTCCTGACTCGGAGAGCAAGTTGATGACCGTTGTCCTGTCCGTTTCCGGTTCCAGTTTGATGGCTACTCCTCCCTTAGCCGTGGCTCTAGGGTTGAGGAGATTCTTTACTTTTTCCATCAACTCGCTGGTCTCGATTCCTTCAAGGATGTCTACGAGAACCAGCTCGCTTTGTTCAGTCATTGCCTTGTCAATTTCTATGGCTGCCCGACCTGCTTTTTTAGCTTTATTGGTAGGGTCATTGATCTTATTTTTCCTGGAGGCCACAGCACTCCAGGTCTCAGTTTCTGGTGTTTCTTTTTGCTGTTCTTGTGGGTTCTTATTTTTCACTTTCTTCCACGGTGTTGATTCTGTGGTTTCTTTGTTGTCAATCTTTATCTTATCCTGTCTAAGGGGCCAGAACTGCAGTAACCTTACTTTCTCCTTCGTTAGCAGAAAGCTGGGCATTATGAATACAAACTTTTTGGATTATGCCCCAAAACATGTCAACCCTTTCGCTCACAAACTGCGCAGCCGGTTTAGGGCACTTACTCTTGGGGTCGATCAAGTACTGATTAATTTCAGTACACAGTCCAAGTGCGTCTGAGCACGTTTTTTCATGCCTAGTGATCAGGGGGTCCGTCTGAACACCAGATACAAAAGGCGCATCATTATTCCTGAAGTCTTCCATTTAGGCTGTCTACAATTGACACTCACGAATGCTGATAGAAGATGAGACGAATTAAAAAAAACGATGGGGAGGGAGAAGGATGTCAAACAGATAATATTTAAATGAAGAAGAATGAAAGCAGTAAAGATAGAGGGGCACGAAAAAAGATGTCAACAGATGACAAATGAAATGAAGAAAGGTGAAAAAACACGAAGTGGGAAGGGGAGGGGCAAATGATGTCAAAATGGAATGACAATTTAAATGAAAAATAAATCAGTAGAAATAAAGGGGCAGGAAAATGGATGTCAATAGATGACAATCGAAATGAAGGGAAAGGATGAAGAATGAAATAACAGAGAATGAAGAACAAAATGATCGTGAAGAGGAGGGAATGAAGATGCCTATAAGAAGTGAAGACAAAAATGAAATAAATAATGAAGTGATAAATGGCAAGGGGAGGGACAAAATATGTCAGGAAGAAGAAAATTACAGAAAAGATGCCAAAATAGGGTGAAGATGCCAACAAGAATTAAAAATAAATATGAAGTAAAGAATGAAAGTGACAGAGGGGAAGAAGAGAGACAAAAGAAGTCAAACAAGAAGATGCCAACAAAAGATGACAAAGGATGCCATATCTGGCGGGAAAGTAAACGGAAGTGAACCGACAACGACGAGAGCCACGTGTCCAATTCGAATAGGTGGATTCGATAAATTTATAACTGAATAAATATTTATAACTGAAAATCTGTTCGATAGAATTTGTTCAAACTTCACACAGCTCCGTAAGACAAAGTCTCCCACACGATGACAAATTTTCACGATTACTCGCCAGGTTGTTCACCGATTGAGTGACACTTTCTCATACGCGTACTAATACTTACTTGAAACATGCAAAAACATGATAACATGCACACAACACATACCTGTATATGACTGCCAATTTTCAAAGTAAAAGTCCTTCATGAAACCACTCAAAAGTGGATTGGGGCTTGGGCTGAGGAGCGGTGGGGAGCGATATTCACACTACCGCTGGGCAAAAATGTAATACCGTAAAAGTTTTAAAACAATTTCTCTTTTTTGATCTATGGTCGGAATGGCCCAAACAAATTTGGAAAAACTATCTACTGCCACGAACAAACAAAGAATTTTTATTTATGGTTTTTGTTAATTTGCAAAAGTCAATATAGATTTTGGGACTGCATAAATCCGTATTTTGCAAAACTACTTGTTTTATATTCTGCGCATAATTTACAACGTTTACTTGATTCAATAATGGCCTTTTTAAAATAAGGAAAGTGAAATGGTTACTGATTTTTTGTAAGGTCTTCGTAATTCCTCTTTTATTGTTCCTCTGGGACTAATCATGAAATTTCAATCCCAACATTGTAACTATGGAATAAATTGAAATGTGACAGTTATATATACAATCTATTTTCATGGAATACTACAACCAACAGTCGCAAATAGAAAATACTTCTCCTATTGAAATTCTGAGAATCCATCCGATAATAGCAATTGAACCAACCACAAACCACCAAGAGTCTTGTTCGGTGCGTAGAATAGTATTCATCTCTTTGTCATGAGAAAAATCGCACACTTTTGGTTATGAGTGATATGTTTAATTTTAGTGATAGCTAGTTTGTCCAAGACTTCAAAGTACAAAAAATAATCTTTAAGTATACGAAAAACAAATAAAACAAGTGAGGTGAATCGATGGTTTGCTGGACAGACAATACAGTTGAGGGTGTTCATAATTTGAGAAAAATTATTCCTCTATACCAGCCACCTCCTAACTACCACCTAAAAATATCGTCAAAACAAGCACCAAGACTCCGGTAATATGTGTATAGGTGTGGATTGGCAGAAACCAGACTATGCAGAACGACCCCTTTTCTAATCTAATCTACATTCAAATAAAATAACTACAGTTAAAAAGATATACTTTTACTTGATTACATTTTTATTTATATATTGATTTATTTTTTTGTCATGTGACTAAAAAGTATTAATTGGTTTTATTTCCTCTGGTTTCTTTGACAACGATTTTTCTGTTTAAGAAAGTGATTCAACGTATTTTCTTAATTGTTGCGTCTATAATTTAAACAAAAAATGAACAACCTGTACGGGAAATATGGAAGGAGACAACTGATACATCATGACGTTGTGGGATATCATATGAGTCCAATCACTTATTCTTCCATTGGCGAAAAGATCAAGAGTTCTAGTCGACTTTCTATAGAAAACAGAAATACAGAAATTCTAAAAAAGAGCAGTCCATCTGAACGAGGAAAGGATTATAATCTCAGTAGGATTCCAGTACTACAGAGTAGGAAACTATCGACTCCAAATTATCATCTTGATTTTTCTTCTAAATTTGAATATTCCAAAGTCATCAAGAACTATATAAAGTGCAATTGTCTCTCCGAAAAGAAGAACAATATAGCCCAACTGGACAAAAAAAAATTTCACAATGACAATTTTGTGGACCGAGTGAGTTATAATATAAAAGACAATGTTTATGCTCGAAATTCATATGAAAGGGAAGTATTCAGTTCAGACACATCAAGCACTGATCAATCGACCTTCTGTAAATGCAGAATTGGCGCAGAAAGAAATGTCAAACAAAAAGTGCCAACTGATAATTCCATCTTCAATGGAAGGAGAGAAATTATTTCAAAAGGAAAAATCAATCTACTCCAATATGGCCAAAAGGGAAAGAATTACACAGATAAGATTCATTCGCACAGCATCAGGCAGAGTTATGAGTCACCGGTAGCGACAGGAGTTGAAATGAACCTTCTTGACAAGAATGTATTCTCCACTATTACACAAAGATATTGCAATTATTTTTCATTTAAAAAGTACAAGTCCACATCAACGCAATATGAAAGGGAGCCAGGCAGAAACTGGACCCAAACATTACAAGTTGCAGTTCAAACTGACGAATCTGCCAGTACAGTCGATGGTACTGTGCAAACTGAAGAAAAAAATGTTATGAGTCAAGAGTCCCAAACATCCATCTTAACAGCGAGCAATGTTGTTCTTATCAACATAAAGCAGAGTCGATCGGGAAAACAGAAAATTGGAAAAAAAATTGAAAAAAGGCAGATACAAGTCGTAAAACCAAGACAAAAGGCTGGAGATATGAGTTGCAAAGAAAAAGCAATTAAATTGACCAACTATCCAAACAAGGACCATTCCATACAAGACAAAATGATGAGGGGAACGATCGAAGGTAAAAAGACAAATTGTTATTAACTCTACTGAGTGAACTATTAACATTGTGTTATTTTCTAAGGAGTGCTTTCTAGAATAGAAGCTACTCTCATGTTGTATTTGTTAGTAAATATTGAGAATTTCAATGATGTTTTAGTTTATTTTTTCGTTAAACTATAAAATGTTTTGAACATGTACTATTTTTTTTAGGTGCATATCAAGTTCCAAAAAAATATCGTCTCATCTCCAGGTCAGTGCCATCAAACACAGAGTATCAAGGAATTACCAAAGAACTAAAATCAAAGTCGGCTATGAATAATGAGAGCGGGATAGCTAGCAGAAAATTTCTTTTCAAGGAAAAGAGACCAAGTCGATATCACAGTTCGCTGCCTCCGGCAAATGATGATTGGTCTACAAAAAATCATGGGTGCCTTAAAATATCACCATTTGTCGAAAGCAAGCAGGGAGATGTAGCTCTGAACGAAAGGCCAGAACAAAAGGTGCAGGTTCTAAAAAACAGCAGGAGCAGTCCATCGTCAACGTGCAGTGCCAAATCTTTTTCAACAGAATCTCGGTATGGAAATAAACAATTTAAGAATACTGAAGAAACGTTGTCTAGCACAGGCACATCTTCTACTTTATCCCGGCCAATGTACAAGAGAAGAAAATTAACTGACGCCAATTGCTATCCTGAAACGTATGTGGACCTTTTTTCAAAATTGGAAAATATTTTGAGTGATGGTCGAAAGAAGTCCATTGAAAACCACCTGAAATTCATGAACTCCGTAAGCCATGACATCTGGGGGGATGAAGATAATAGCTGCATGGTGGAATCGACAATTTCCAATGTTTCAACTGGCTCATGGATATTGAGAGAACAGGACTTTTCCAGTCCAGGTTCTTCTAATGACGAGATGTCTTCCACCACCATACAGATAAAAAATAGAACAAAGAGAAAAATCAAGACATCCCAATCTATGAAACACAATCCAATTAGACCGTATACATCAGACACAAGTGAATCTAGTGAGGAAAATTATCCGTTTAAACCAAAATCTAAAGTCGTCCTACATAATAGAAAACAACACGATGACAGAACACAGACACACCAAAATCAGAGGAAAATAAGAGAATTAAAAATGTCAGTGACTGTAGACGGTTTAGATGACATGGAAATGATTGTATATTATGCAAAGAAATATCCGACCACTCGAAGGAATGTTCAACTTGGGCACAAAGATATTGAAATAACCAAATCAATTACAACATGTATTGATTTGGTTAAATCAATTATTCAATCAGTCTTTCCACCGCTGTATGGTACGTCCGATAAGCCATCAACACAGATCGTTGATGTACAAACGAAAGATTGTCAAAAAGAGCACAGCGAAGACTGGGAAACAGACGTCACAAAAGCATTTGGAACAAATGACAGCAAAACACATATCACTGAAGACCAGAAAACAAATCATACCAAGGATTGTGCAAAACAGAACACCAACGATTCTGACACAGACAACATTGAAACAAATAACAGTCATAAAACTCTTAACACCAAAGACTACAGAGTAGAATACAACAAGGAACGTGCAAGAGAGACCACCACTGATTCCGAAACAGATGACTCAAAAGACATCGAAACATGTAACAACAAAGACCACAAAACAGATTACTCGAAAGATTGTGCAAAAGAGAACACAAAACATTTTGACACGGAAGACACAAATAACAGTCACAAAACTTATCTCACTGAAAACAACAGTACAGAATACAATAATATTTTTGCAAAACAGAACACCAATCCTTCTGACGCAGATAAAACAAACAACACTGAAACAAGTAACAACAATGACAGCAATCCACATATCAACAAAGACCACAAAACAGAACACTCGAGGGATTGTCCGAAAGAGAACACAAAACATTCTGACACAGAAGACACAAATAATAGTCACAAAACTCACCTCACTGAAAACCACAAAACAGAATACACCAATGCTTCTGACACAGATGAAACAAACAACAACAATGACAGCAATTCACATATCACACATTCTGACACTGAAGACACAAACAACTATGAAACGAATAATACTCATAAAACACATATAACCCAAAACCTTATTACAGAATGTAACAATGAGTGTGCAAATCAGAACACTACAGCTTCTGACACAGATGACATAGACAAGATTGAAACAATTAACAACAATCAAAGCCAAACACATATCAATCAAGACAACAAAACAGAATACCCGAAGGATTGTGCAAAAGAGGACACAAAGCATTTTAACACAGACGATACAATCAACTATGAAACAAATAACATTCACAAAACTCTGATCAATGAAAACCACAATTCAGTATACACCAATGATTCTGCTAAACAGGACACCAATGATTCTGACACAGATGACATAAACAACACTGAAACAAATAATATTCATAAAACACATATAACCGAAAACCTCCCTACAGAATACTCCCTTGATTGTGAAAAACAGAACATTAACAACTCTGAAACAGAGGACATTGAAAACTGTGAAACAAGTGACACAAAAGACTTTGAACCAAATGACGCTGAAAATTGCACGACGGTTCACCCCAAGGAGGTCATTGGAAACACATGTCATACTAATATTACCAAGCATGAACTACTGGAAACACTAACTTCACCAAAAGAAGTAAATGGCACACCTGGCAATATGTCACCATCAACGTGCAGTGTCGTTTCAGAGCCGCTAATTTATGATCGCTGTCCCAATATAGTTGACATAACAAGTAGTGATGACAGTTTGTCAAATTGTACTACATCTGCAACGTTTAGTGGACAGATGTCCAAAAAATGGGCAGATTCAAATAAGCAAACTGCGACACAACCCCCAAACAAGTCGTTTCTTGAACTGTTCAAACAGTTAGAAGAAGCTTTGGGTGACGAACAATAACACGACCGCTTGTCTTGAAGAAATTAATAAAAGCTTATCAAATAAATTCTGTATTATTTTGTAAATTTGATTAACATACTATTATTTTATTTTAAGATAAAAAATACTAAAATATAGCTTAATAGTTCCTATAAATTTATAGTTATTTATAGTATGCTTAAATATATCCAATTGTATTGTGAAAAATTACTTTGTAAAGTATAATTAATTAGGCCAAATTTTAAGTTTTTACTTCATTTTGTGTTTAGATGGTTGAAATCATTGCAGTAAAAATTTCTCAAACTCAATATAATGTCAATTATGACATATTGCCTCTTCAAAACGATCCATTTTACGTGTATTATGCATCATTAAGTAGCAAGTACTGGAATAATTGTGGAGAATAATTAAGAGTTAATAATTTTGTCCAAGGCCAATTTTAATATACTACCATAATTTCTCCTAATAATGTTCAACTAATAAAAAATATAGATACATAAAATAGATAAAAGACATATAAAAGTGGTAATTCGTAATTATAATACCGGTAAATATATATTATTTACTGAACAACGCATGTAAAGAAAACATTTATTTTGTATATGTCACTCCCTTTATTTTTTCCCCTTTGAAAGGAAAAAGAAAGGTATGTTCCCGATTTTACTGTGGCCCGGAGAATAAATTAATCTTTGGAATGAACAAGGGGACAACTAGGTTGGTGTGTCACAGATCTGGACCAAATTTTTTTCCCTGTAATTCTACTCTCCAAAATAAAGGACACTTCGTATCCACACAAACACGTATTCACTTCTTGTGAATAGGCCCTGGTTTTGCCCATTCAAGTTTTAAAACAATTTATTAAAAACACAAGAAAATAACAATTAGCACAAATTAAATTTCTTTTTTTAAATTTTAAAACAAACAATTACAACTTTTTAAGTTTAAATAAACAGTAATTCCATGCAAACCGTTTGCCAGATCATTTGGAACATGGGTTCATGGGTACTCACTATTTACAGTCAATCCACTGTGAACGAAAGCACTCTTTGTTTAGGGATTCTAATACTTTTTACACTCTTTTCAGAATCCCACACTTCTTTCTGCCCCTTTATCTACAAGGAATGGGTTCGTTCATTTCTCGACTGACTGTCTCTACCCTAATCGTGGATATCATCTTTTATTTTTCCTCTAGGACTAATCATGAAGTTTAAATCACAACATTGTCACTATGAAGTAAATTGAAATGTGAGAAAATTCCTCACCTGAAAAACGATTTGTTTTCAAACTCTTTTCTCCACCGAACATTCAATCCCATTCGGATAGCTAATGCTGATCAAAATCTCGCTGTTTGCTTCATTCTGAATCCTTTGATGTCGTACATGCTCAAACACTGTGCAGATAGACGGTGTACATCTGTGGGTTTCACAAGATGAGCCCTCATAATGTTGTGCACCCAAAAACCATTAAGGTCTGGTCATAAACCCAAAGAGTCCAAAATTCCGTGCCTGGTTCTTATTTCTTCATTCTTGATAAATGTCTTGAACCATTTTCTGCGATGTGTGAGGTAGTCTTGAGGCTACGAATATTCCTTGGTTGATTAAAGGATGTAACCATAAAGTTCAATTTCATTTCTCAAATGAATTCTTGCTATGATTTGGAATCGTATGTCGACTATTCATCAAAGTAGTAAGTTTTTATCAAAAGGATANTACAAGGAATGGGTTCGTTCATTTCTCGACTGACTGTCTCTACACTAATCGTCGCCATAGTATTGTCTATTATGAAAATGTCTACCGTGATTGTTTTTATATCGCGGTTCAAAATGTCTGAGTTCTTTCTGGTTTGATTTGAAATGGACATTCCTGTTATTTACGTAATTACCAGATCTTGTCTTTTTAAAAAATTTTGGTTTTTCGCGACCAGTTGATTCAGATTCCGACAATGATGATATATATCGAATTTATACGATATAATATGATGGTATATATATCGGTCGTATGCGCGGACGTATTTTCTTTCTCGGTTTCGTTCAATGGGTTCGAGAAAGGTTTTATTAGTAAAGAAGGACAAAAAATACGTGAAGTAGCCGCTCCATTGGTCACAATCAATTCTGTTTTAATCATTTCCTTATAGAGCTGACTTATGGAATGTATTTTAAATTTGGTACCCAATAAACTCAAATATTTAGGATTGAGTCGCTCAATAACAATATCGTTTCTATTTCCGTTGTATCCCGGAATATTTTTGCATACTGAATTTGTTTATCAACTTATTCCCGGATAGACTCCCACTCCCTTGTTGATTGTGCCTGAAGTTAATACTTGGTTTTTAATTTGGTGATTTCTTATGACGACCCATGAAACCTAAATAACGAATCCCGCAAAGATCTAAGTTTGTATCTTTTCTTTGTGCGGCAATAAGGAGTAAATAAGGAGCTTACGGATCCCTGGCTATTTTCACCTAAAACAAAAAGAATTTCCTAAGTTAACGATTTATAATGAGTCAAAAGTGGAAATAATTCACACAAGAAATTAAAAACAGATTCGGGATCATTTAATATTACTGGTGGTAATTTATTTGTTTTATTTAAGAAGGAATGATGTGGCTTGGATGTCCTGACAAATTTGGGAATAAATTGGTCATCGGGATTAGAATTTCAGTCGATTGAACTATGCGCAGGCTTCATTCCCATTGATGTAGGGAAAGGTATATTTTTGAATTTACCACTGTCTGGCGCGACGGACTTTTTGCATTCTAGGCCTTTTGGAGTTTTAAATTCTACAGTTTGCGGCGGTGAGGCTTCACGAAAAAGTTTCCGATCCGTTCTTTTTTTATTTCTTCTTGAACTTTTAAAATTCGGGATGATACTGATGTGACCAAGATTTGTCTCTGTTTTTTGGGATTCATGGTTGGATTAGCGGGCTAATCATTTAAGAAGTCTGTAATTTCCTTTTCTCTAATTTTGAGGTGCTCATTCCAATGGAAAGGTAAACTCCCTATTTTATCAACATAACGTTCTTCCCTAACATCATTTCGACTACTTTCTTCCGAGTCACACATATTAACTGAACTATTTTTTAATTTGTTTTTATGAATTTTTCAAAAATATTTTTTTATTATTATTTTTATTTACTTAATTTAATTAACTCTCTGCTACCAATTTTGCCACGGTTTCTTCTTGATTCAACAAGGCGGACCCAACTTTGAACCCTGTTTATTAGGAACAGAGCCCCCAGAGATCGTGATCGAACCTGAATACAATCCGATCGGTTGCCTTTTTATAATAAAGTTTACTTCAATTTTTAAGGCAATTTATTAATTACACGAGAATAACAATTAACACAAATTAAATTACCTTTTTAAATTTTAAAACAAAGAATTAAAACTTTTTTTACGAGGGTTCCCATCAGCAGAGGTCATATAAACCGGTGTTTTTGAAAAAAAAGCCCATTTGTAAGTATGTCGGGTTCGAATGCAGGGTAGGGCCGCTGGATTCGAACCCGAGACATTTACCTTACAGAAATGAGCGCCGGGTCAACGCCTAAACCGTTGCCTTCACCGATGCCCCCTAATTAAAACTTTTTAATTTAAATAAAAGCAATTTCATGCAAACCGTTTGCCAGACCATTTTGCAACATGGAAACATTTACAGTCAATTCGCTGTGAACCAAAGCACTCTTTTCTAGAGATTCTAACACTTTTTAAACTCTTTTCAGGATCTCACACTTCTATCTGCCTCTTTTCTGCACGGAATGGACTCGTTCATTTCTAGACTGACTGTCAGTACCCTAATCGTGGAGATCCTCTTTTATTTTTCCTCTGGGACGAATCATGAAGTTTAAATCACAACATTGTCACTATGAGGTAAATTGAAATGTGACAGCTATATATACAATACATTTTTATGGAATACCATAACCAACAATTGCAAATCGAAAATATTTCTCCTACTGAACTTCTGAGAATCCATAGGATAGTAGCAAATGAACCATTTTAGTTATAGCTAGTTTCTACAAGACATGAAGCACAAAAAACAATCTTTAAGTATATGAAAAACTAATAACACAAATGAGGTGCCCCGTGATAGCCTACAGATTGATGGTTTGCTGGATAGACATTACCGCTGAGGGTGTTCAGTATTTGAGAAAAAATATTCCTCAATACCAGCCACCTCTTAACTACCACTTAAAAAATATCACCAAAACAAGCACTGAGACTCCGGTAATACATCCATGTGGATTGACAGAAACCTCCTGACTATGCAGATATCGCCAGGAAGAAGAGGAGTCAGCAGAACATTTCTTCTGTTGGTGTGAAAGCTTATGTAGGCTAAGATACACCTGAAAAAGCTATAGTGGTTGCATTACGCAGGCTGTAAAAGGTCGACCCCTTTTCTAATCTAATCTACATTCAAATAAAATGAGTACAGTTAAAAAGATATACTTTAACTTGATGACATTTTTATTTATATATTGATTTATTTTTTTGCCATGTGACTTAAAAGTATTAATTGGTTTTATTTCCTCTGGTTTCTTTGACAACGATTTTTCTGTTTAAGAAAGTGATTCAACCTATTTTCTTAATTGTTGCGTCTATAATTTAAACAAAAAATGAACAACCTGTATGGGAAATACGGAAAGAGACAACTGATACATCATGACTGTGTGGGATATCATATGAGTACAATCACTTATTCTTCCATTGGCGAAAAGATCAAGAGTTCTAGTCGACTTTCTATAGCAAACAGAAATACAGAAATTCTAAAAAAGAGCAGTCCATCCGAACGAGGAAAGGATTATAATATCAGTAGGATTCCAGTACTACAGAGTAGGAAACTTATCGACTCCAAATTATCATCTTGATTTTTCTTCTAAATATGAATATTCCAAAGTCATCAAGAACTATATAAAGTGCAATTGTCTCTCTGAAAAGAAGAACAATATAGCCCAAATGGGCAAAAAAAATTTCACAATGACAATTTTGTGGACCGAGTGAGTTATAATATAAAAGACAATGTTTATGCTCGAAATTCATATGAAAGGGAAGTATTCAGTTCAGACACATCAAGCACTGATCTACCGACCTTCTGTCAATGCAGAATTGGCACAGAAAGAAATGTCAAACAAAAAGTGCCAACTGATAATGCGATCTTCAATGGAAGGAGAGAAATTATTTCAAAAGGAAAAATCAATCTACTCCAATATGGCCAAATGGGAAAGAATTACACAGATAAGATTCATTCGCACAGCATCAGGCAGAGTTATGAGTCACCGGTAGCGACAGGAGTTGAAATGAACCTTCTTGACAAGAATGTATTCTCCACTATTACACAAAGACATTGCAATTATTTTTCATTTAAAAAGTACAAGTCCACATCAACGCAATATGAAAGGGAGCCAGGCAGAAACTGGACCCAAACGTTACAAGTTGCAGTTCAAACTGACGAATCTGCCAGTACAGTCAATGGTACTGTGCAAACTGAAGAAAAAAATGTTATGAGTCAAGAGTCCCAAACATCCATCTTAACAGCAAGCAATGTTGTTCTTATCAACATAAAGCATAGTCAATCAGGAAAACAGAAAATTGGAAAAATAAATGAAAAAAGGCAGATGCAAGTCGAAAAACCAAGACTAAAATCTGGAGATATGAGTTGCACAGAGAAAGCAATTAAATTGACCAACTATCCAAACAAGGACCAGTCCAAACAAGGTAAAATTATGAGTGGAACGATTGAAGGTAAAAAGACAACTTTTCACTCTACTGAAGGAACTATTAAAATTGTGTTATTTTCTAAGGAGTGCTTTCTAGAATAAATGCTACTGTCATGTATAAGTCATGTAATAGTAAATATTGAGAATTTCATTGCTGTTTTAGTTTATTTTTTTGAACATTTACTCATTTTTTTCTGTTTCTTTTAGATGCCTATCAAGTTCCGAAAAAATATCGTCTCATCTCCAGGTCAATGCTATCGAACATAGACTATCAAGGAATTACCAAAGAACTAAAATCAAAGTCCGCTATGAATAATGAGAGCGAGATAACTAGCAGAAAATTTCTTTTCAAAGAAAAGAGACCAAGTCGATATCACAGTTCATTGCCTCCGGCAAATGATGATTGGTCTAAAAAAAATCCTGGGTGCCTTCAAATATCACCATTTGTTGAAAGCAAGCAGGGAGAAGTAGCGCTGAACGTTTTTAACGAAAGGCCAGAACAAAAGGTGCAGGTTCTGAAAAACAGCAGGAGCAGTCCATCGTCGACGTACAGTGCCAAATTTAATGAATATTTTTCTACAGAGTGTCGGCATGAAAATAAAGAATTTAAGAATACTAAAGAAATGATGTCTAGTGCAGACACATTTTCTACTTTATCCCGGCCAATGTACAAGCGAAGAAAATTAACTGACGCCAATTGCGATCCTGGAACGTATGTGGACCTTTTTTCAAAATTGGAAAATATTTTGAGTGATGGTCGAAAGAAGTCCATTGAAAACCACCTGAAATTCATGAACTGCTTAAGCCATGACATCAGGGGGGATGAAGATAATAGCTGCGTGGTGGAATCGACAATTTCCAATGTTTCAACTGGCTCTTGGATATTGAGAGAACAGGACTTTTCCAGTCCAGGTTCTTCTAATGACGAGATGTCTTCCACCACCATACAGATAAAAAATAGAACAAAGAGAAAAATCAAGACATCCCAATCTATGAAACACAATCCAATTAGACCGTATACATCAGACACAAGTGAATCTAGTGAGGAAAATTATCCGTTTAAACCAAAATCTAAAGTCGTCCTACATAATAGAAAACAACACGATGACAGAACACAGACACACCAAAATCAGAGGAAAATAAGAGAATTAAAAATGTCAGTGACTGTAGACGGTTTAGATGACATGGAAATGATTGTATATTATGCAAAGAAATATCCGACCACTCGAAGGAATGTTCAACTTGGGCACAAAGATATTGAAATAACCAAATCAATTACAACATGTATTGATTTGGTTAAATCAATTATTCAATCAGTCTTTCCACCGCTGTATGGTACGTCCGATAAGCCATCAACACAGATCGTTGATGTACAAACGAAAGATTGTCAAAAAGAGCACAGCGAAGACTNAGATAAAAGACATATAAAAGTGGTAATTCGTAATTATAATACCGGTAAATATATATTATTTACTGAACAACGCATGTAAAGAAAACATTTATTTTAAATACATTACCTCTTTTATGTTTTCCCCTTTGAAAAGAAAAAGAAAGGTATGTTCTTGATTGTACTGTGGCCCAGAGAATAAATTAATTTATGGAATTAATTTTAAATTGGTCTATAATTACTTACTGTTATTAAATTTGAGTTACACCAAATTTAAGTATCCGTTAAATTTATATAATTGTTAAAAATAACGCTTCGTAAAGTAGTAATATGTAATATGAATAACTTAAAAATAACGTTTTTAAATTTAATTTTTTAATTGAAATTTTATAATTTTAGAAAATGGTATTGCTTTGGTGCTCTCCTAGACTTCCTCCTGGCTTTTGATGGAATCTGGCGCCTTGGCACACTTATAACTACTTTCTACTCACTCCTTATTACTCTATCCTGCAATCCTACTTAGCAGACTGCTGCTTCTGAGTAACATACAGCAATGAGTTGTCGGGAAGCAGACTTGAGACAGGGAAGCCTGCGCCCCACAAAGGAGCATTCTTGGTCCCATCATGGTATCATCTATGCTGCTGACCTACCTGCACACCCCAATACCATCATTACCATCTATATTGACGATATCACAATGTTTTCCTCTAATTCGAACCCTATCCAAGCAACTCCAACATCCAAGAACACCTTGCGCTTATCGAAGACTGGTGCAAACATTGGAGGACAAGACTGAATGAAGAAAAAATGTACTCAGTGTACATTCTTGCACTTCGCTGTACATGAACAGTAAAGAGATACTGATTTCCACTCAAGTCGAATACCAGGACTGAGCAGAGACAGCAGACTGATGTGGAATCCCCAACAAGATTTAAAAGTCAACAACTTTGTTGACATGGAATGGACAACTATGAATACTTCTATGAATGAAATCCGCCTTGACTGGCAATGACTTAACTACTGTGACCTCTTCGGACATACAGAGAGGCGCATCCAATCCTTCCAAACAATATTCCACAGCCAATTACGCAAAGCTGCTTACTAAGTCACTAACTTCACTTTCCACACTTTCAACATTCCTTTTGTCAAGAAACTGATCCGTTCCTTATTCAAAAATTTATTTACAAAGTCCAATTGCAAATAAAATTAAACACAAGGGGGAGATTTATCTGTGTTTTACCTCTAATCCTTTAAAACAGACCAAATATTGTGAGATTTGCATTTATATAGGCTCAAATATGCACAAGTACACACATACATAGAAACATGTGCCGAGTTGAGCCTATTCGCTCTCGTAGACCACCGGCAGTTTGAACTTTTGATATTTACAGTAAACTGCCAGCTGACTCGACAATCACCCTCTCCGGGTGTTAGGAGTCCAGGAGCTGACCTCAGTCTTATTTCAGTCAGTTGGGCTCTGTGGGAGGGGGTGCTGTCAACGGCTTAGTCAATTCAGCACCAACACATTGTTCCAGCAGTCCCAAACTATTCATTCTTAAATACATTCACTCCTAGTTACATATCATTCGTTCAATTAGGGTGATGGAATACTCGATATTCTTCATCATCCTTTATCTTATACAACTAGCCTAGCTGAGGGTCAAAGGGGTACTCGATATTCCACTACAGACTCTCTCACATCACACATTTATGTTAATAAATACATTCACTCAAGTTAATTACTACCACTCTTATTACTATATACAATAAACAACCCTGGTTTCACCAAGAATCTGAACATGGGACTGAAATACTCGCTACCGTGTTCAAGCACAATTCTCAGATCGGGTGGCATTCCTGCGCGCTCTGAGTATGGAGCAAAGGAACTGCATCCGTCAATAATGGATACTTATGCAGGCTTTGTCCCAAATGTAAGTGTCCATGTATTAACCTCACATGGTATATTCTTAATTGGGGGAGGATGTCCCTTATTCTACGAGTAAAATCCTCCAAGGCACCAAATACTGTTATAAGATAATCAATGTAGGATTGTCTAAGAGATAATTAAAAATATTAAGGGTGGCCATGTTTTTTTTCTATCGGTGTAGATCCTATGCATAATGATTAAAATGGATGTTTGCTTAACAAATGTTTTTACCTAGTTTGCTTCATTTACGAGTTTTTAGAAACGTCTAAACTGTTTAATTACCAAGTCTTCCTTTGAAAAGGTTTTTTTTTACTTTTACCAAAATATGGTCATTACCGACTGTTGGCTCGAGGGGCTTTATGAAACTTGCTAGCGTACTTCCCAATCAGTTGTCAAGAATTTGAATTAAAGTTTCTTACTTGAATGCCTCTTCTTCAGAAGGTCGGGGCTCTGGTGGCGTACGTGATGCCTTCACGAGCTTGACAATTTCTGCAGGTAAATGTTCTCTTCGGGGGGCACGATTAATTATTATTCTATTTATAGGTAATTAATAGGTCATTATTAGGTTAGGGAAAAAACTAATTAAAGTTGAGCTTACTTCAAAGGGACGACTATCGCTGCCACTGCCTCCAAGCGAAAAATAGGCCGAATCCTACTTGCTATTATTTTGTCTGAAGGGCCGACTTATCTTAATTTTATAATTGTTTAACACATATTGAAATAAATATATAAACAAAACAATACAAAAATAATAATTTGAGTTAAATAATCTAATATTAAACAAATACAATGCTTATTCTTAAAACGATTTATTCCGGCAAAAACACCGATCGTTTTAGCCTTCCTCTTGCACAGGTGGTTTTAGCTTTAAAAAATCATTAAATTATAATCTGTAAAATGTGTAGTGATCAGTGACCGTTAGTCGATAATTATTCAGAAATCGTGAGATGCGGTCTGGTGTGATGTAGGAAGATGATCTCAATAAAGATCGAAACGTTGGCACGATAAAGAAAATGTTTTACTGAAACCTACATCACATCAGACCGCATCTCACGATTTCTGAATAATTCATCTATAAAATAAACAATTAGCCTTTTTCCAAGAATTTCAAGAAAGTAACGGTAATTATTAATTGGCATTAGTTTAAAGGCCAATTTGCCATGAGCCAATAATGAATTAATTAGCTAGCTTCATCAACTGAAATACCAAGCCAACGAGAACAGACAGACCAAGATGATCAGTAACAACCAAATTATGGATTCATCTCCTAACAAACCGCACAGAGAAATCTATATAACTTATCTTATATCTATATAATCTTATATTATATAACAACAATCAATGTATTGGCAAATAATTTTGTTTTTTTATCACACTAATCTGTTCAAAAATGGTCTGGTTAAAAAATAAGCAAATTTGTCCCAGCAAGTTTTGTACGTAATCAAACAATTGTACATAATCTATAAATCAAAATTTCTTTGCAGGTTTTTTCATTTTGATCAACTAGAACTTCAAGCAAACTAGGCGAACAACATGGTTCACAACACAATCATGGTGGTAAGTGGACATCATCATTTCTAATCATTATAAAGTTATAATCTAAGAAATAACAGACATGCCTAAAAGACTACTAAGGAAACCAAATTAAAAGGTTCGCTAATTTAAGAATCGTCCTTCATCACAAAACAAAGAAATATTTGGGCCATAATTCATCCGCCCGGCATGAAGTCTTAAAGGATTACTCGGAACCGCCACAAATTCTCTGAAACCGCCGATCTTTTGATCTGACCCATAGTTACATGTACATTTACCTTATGTCCGCCGTAGGGCGTAGGGAAAGGGACGAAAATGCATCAAACGAGCACAAATATCCGTTTGTAATTTTGGACGAACCAAGAGTACGTCATTCAATGACTTTGACGTTTCGAATTTACACTCGCGTCCAAAACGACTCGTACTGAGGTCGACTGACTGCGGCTTGAATATGACACGATGGAGAATGAAATATCCCTGGGATTCAGTAATATTCCCGTCAGTAATCTCAGACGTGTGTCCCTGCTGAAATCAGTCGTATGATAAGCGACTCGTAAATCTTCGCCCCGTTCTAATCGTGCTTCCAACTTCGAATGCCGACGTCGAACATTTTCAAAGGAGTTCCTAACTACTGTGGATCTTCCAAGAATGGCAGAGCTACCACATATTTTCCACTCATATCTCTTTGAACATTATTGCGGTAGATGTTTTCGCATTTCGCCTCATAAGAGTGTAAAACTAGTTCTGGGGGAGTAGAGATATTTTCGATTTTCCAAAACCTTTCCGTTTCCAGTGTCTTTATTTTTGGCGTTCGACAACGTTGTCTAAGAACTTGATTTTTCCCTTTCGATTCTCCCACTATGGGGCTCATCCCCATCACAACAAAACTCACTCGCGTTTTTGTATTTTTATATCAATCAGCCCGGGAGCGTGAAAACTTTCTTTGCCAATCCAAAAAAAATCGATCCTGGCCGACGGCATCTCGTCACGATTTTATCTACAACCAGGGGGTTTGAAAGTGAACAAGAGACTTGGGTCGAATCGTGAAGAAAAAGTCAAGCTGGTCCACCACAAACTGAATTAGACGCACCTCCAAAACCCACAACCGAAAATCCGACAATTCGTATTGATAAGTCCAAGCGCCGGCACGCTATCTTTGTAAAAAGTGAGACTGACTTCTAAAAGTAACCGAACATCCCCGCCCGTCTCTCTCTTACCCCTTACAAAAACTGTTGACAAAAGAATAGTGTAGAACTACTCTACAGTTGGCCAGCGAACACAGACTACACCTATTCCTCTCTGGTCGATAATCCTGAATCTTCTCGTCCGAAGGACGTATGAAGTGTAGTACAGAATGATGGGACAGGTTATATGTCACATGTGGTTTTACCATTGTAATTTCGAACGCGATGATCGGGATAAAACATCAGAAACACAATTGCTTACTTTTAACTAGGTGACCTCTCTGACTCAACTTTCAACAGAATTTAGTACAATCTACTAATGGGTGATTTGTCCCAGTCCACTCGGCTCAACGACAAAGGAGAAAGTTGATTGATAACATGCAATGCAAACTGATTCCAATCCGGTCCCGTCAGGACGAAAAATGTTAACGCAGTGGACTATATAAAATTTTTAAGATTCCGCAAAGAATTTGAGGGCCAAAAATAAATAAAAGAAATCAAATTCAGATGTTGCGTGGCTAACCTCGTCCTCCTGGTCGACAACTCGTGGACTTCGGGCGAAGTTACAGGAGGGCAGTAGTTGTTATTCAATTGTTGGATGGGAAATCGAGAATGGATACCCTTTACCTTCTATCTTTGGATTTCTGAGTAAATCCATGCAACGGATTTTTTTTTCGAGCGATCACCTCACACGACTTAAATAGATAACAAATTCAATTGGAACGAAGATTGAAATTGGTGAAATGGGAGAGACGTGTATATTACAAATTACAAATGACGACTA